AATGGTCGGAACCCCAAAAAATTCCAGCAGCAATAAATTTCTGTCCTCCTGACCTGAGACCTTGGCAATGATGGTGGCCTTGACCTCTGAGATGTCTCCCACCAGCGGATGTACGATGTCGGCCCACAGTAGGGCGGAGAGACTGCTGAGGCCGGAGGACAAGGTGCTGGGGACAGGTGGTGGGTTATTGGTCTGTTTGTTTGTTTGTTTGTTTGTTTGTCTGTCAGTTTGTTTGTTTGTTTGTTTGTTTGTTTGTTTGTTTGTTTGTTTGTTTGTTTGTAGGTGTACAAGAAACTGCTGAGTCCGGAGGACAAAGTGCTGGGGACGGGAGCTGGGTTATTGGTCTGTTTGTTTGTTTGTTTGTTTGTCTGTTTGTTTGTAGGTGTACAAAAAACTGCTTAGTCCACAGTACAATGTGCTGGGAAAAAGGAGATGGGTTATTGGTTTGTTTGTTTGTTTGTTTGTTTGTTTATAAATAGTCTGGAAGACCTTTACTTCTTTTTATTTCTTTTATTATTTCCCATCCCTTCCTAATCCTTTCCCCGCCCCCTCATTCTTCTCTTCCTCATCCTCTTCCCCCTCCCGCTCCTCTTCATATTTCTTCGACATTTTTGGCATCATCAAGTGCTGCAGAATAATAATAATCATCATCATCATCATCATCATCCTCATCATCACCGTCATCATCATCATCAGCATCATCATCCTCATCATCATCACCATCATCATCATCATCATCATCATCATCATCATCATCATCATCATCATCATCATCATCATCATTGTATGAAGCAGGTATTAAAACGGTTAAGATCTGGAAGTATTTCCAAAAAATTTAATCACAAGTTCACCACCTCCACCAGCCCTGTACCCACCTCAAGGAAGCACTGAAGAGAGAAGCCAGGAACAGACCCGGCATGCCTGGCAGATTTTTGAAGATATCCATCACAATGAAGGGAACGATCTGGAAAAAAAACCCATGGGAAATATTATTACAAGTACTATAACAGTGCTGTTTGTTGTTACACACACACGCACACACGCACACACACACAAGATTACCTAGCCAAATATGGTCGCTTTTAAGCACAAGCGGACTAACCTAGATTTCGGGGGTTTCCAGAAGTCCTGATCTCCACCAAAAGTGGGCATTGCCCTACCTATAGGAGAAGTTTGGTTTCACTGGTGTGTATAGTTGTTTGGTTATAGAGAAAACTCTCCTTGTCTTTTAAAGAAACTGAACAAGGGTCAAAAACTTTGCCTTCGATTTTCTCAATACAGCATTTTTCGGGCCAGCCGCCTTGTGCTTAAAAGCATCCATATGACTGGTGTAGATCGCTCATGTAAACTCATCATGGGACAAAAGCATATTATGCAATGGTTATATCCCTTAGCTCACGGGACGAACTGCTTTGTGAAACGATGAAGCTAAAACTAACAAGCTTAAAAATGTCGAAATGTTTATAATATCTGAGCTCAGTTTGTGCAAAGACATTTTGTCATGAGCAGAATAAGGGTAAGTTAAGTTCGGGTAAGATGTTAGAAACATCTCAATGACTACCAATCAGAAAGTTCTGAAATGCTTTGTATGGTCAACCCTCTTCTATGTGGCTGTGAATGCTGGACAATCCCTAAAAGCAGAGAAAATAAAATAGAAGAAATAGAAATGTGGTTTCTTAGGAGACTGCTGAGATTTTTACTGAGAATATCGTTGAAGGAAAAGAAATCAAAAGACATAGTGCTTGATTAAGCCCACGTGGAACGCTCACTGATAAAACAATCAGGAAACGACAAGTGCAGTTTTGGGGAGACCTGAATAGACATAAGGGTCTTGAACATCTAGCTCGCACTTGCAAAATTGAAGGCAAAACGAGGCAGGGGCAGACCCAGAGAAACCTACATGGAGAACCTAAATAAATGGGTAACTGGGAAAGATCAGGGAAACGTAGATTTTTAAGAGCATCCGAGCAAAGGGATGAAGGGAGAACCATGATCGCCGATGTCAGCCGCAGACCTGGCACCTGATGATGATGCGATGATGATGATGATGATGATGATGATGATGATGATGATGATGATGATGATGATGGTGATGGTGATGGTGAGTTTGACAGTGAGAAAAGAATGACAGATGTAGAAATAGCGAATAATTATAATATTGTGACACTTGGAAAGTGAACAAACACAATCGTGTGTACCAAACCTGGTTTGGGTCTTCGATCTGTTTAGCCTCAAAGGGGTCACATCTTTTGGTCTGGTAGTACGAATAGGCCACGATTCCCTCGTAGACAGCGATAGAGAGCGTGACGAAGAACGTGGGGGCCACGAACAACAGCACCCTGGGTAGACAAAAGGTTACATTTTTTAAAATTGAGGACTCCACGGGGAAAAAAAGAATAGTCACAAACTGAAAGTCGCGAGGGTATCAATTTTGAACGCTTGTTGACTCATAGATTTATTTCATAGCAACTGTTGGTTGTTCCTGTTCCTGTTCCTGTCCTGGGCAACAACGTCATTGCACACCAGACAGGTCCATAAGTGCTCAGTTCCCCCCAGCACCAAAGCCCGCAAGGTATCCATACTGATTGTTCCGGTGGCTGTCTGATTATGTTGGTTGATTATTGGCTAAAACAGCACCTGGACATAGAGTGCTGGTGCCTCTATAAATAAATTAGCGATAGTCAAAAGGTTTGTTGATTATTGCTGTTAGATTCCCCATTCAACAAACATAACAATAAACCACCAATCAAATAAATATGATGTAGTTATGACTCCTCAAGCTTTTAAAATTGACACCCTTACAACTTCCAGCCAATGACTGAGCCTGTTTTTCCCGTGGACTCCTCAACTGTGTCAGGTTTCAATAGCCCCTTTATTCTAGAGGTCTTGTAATCAAATTCCTGCATGTGGTTGAATGATGCATCTGATGTGATATCATGCCTATTTTGTCAGCTTTACTTCTCTGTTCATGTTGAATTTTAATTAGAGTGACTTATAATTTAGATTTTTTGTGTATACCTGCATGTGTTTTTACGGTCCTGTACAGCCAGGAAAAATTTTCCTCAGGGATGATAAAGTAATATCCTATCTTATCTTATCTTATCTTATCTTATCTGATCTGACCTTATCTTATCTTATTCCAACACTGCCTGTTTAATCAAGAGGTAAGTCCACCGAATGTACCGTCCATCTCTCACAGGACCGAGTAAAGTAAAATGGGTGGACAGTCTTAAAAGCTCTCAATACTACTACTACTACTACAACTACTACTACTACTACTACTACTACTACTACTACTACTACTACTACTACTAC